GTACTTTTGATTTGACCTATAATTGGTATGACTTGTTACAATAAATTCTGGATATCCGAGGCTGCTTTTGCCTTGGCTTATAACTTCGATGCAAAATCAATCCACCAGTGCAACAGCCTTTAGGCACAAAATAAGCATAAAGAGTAAGGCAAGGTATGGATTGCTCACAGTGCGTAATTTGCATGTGAAACAGGCAGAATATCAACAGCAGAATTCATACATCAATGCGTGCTCTTTCAGGCTGTTGACAGGCCACGACTGTTTGTGTAACTCTGGTACCAATGCTCTTCTGAAAGAGCAAGCCCAGGAATCCCATTGTATCAGAGTAGATCAGTAACTCTAGCGGTTGCAAGGTAACCTCCAGCAGCATTCCCACATCTACCCGCAGCTGCTGTTGAAAGCAATCTGATTGCCAACAGTAGTTGCACTGACATAAAATTGTGAACTCGTAAAACTTTTAGTAGGTGTAACACACCGCTTTGTTTTCAACCCAGGAGATATGTTCTGACATTACAGTTCCTCTCTCTTGGCTTTCCACTGAAGGCCAGTTTTGTCAATCACACTCAAGTTAGGAATTTCTCTGGCGTTTGCAGCAGAAAAACTGGCCCTCAAGAAAAGTTTCATATTCTGTTTTGAAACAGTGAATTTATACTACTACCTATTTAAATTTCCACCTTACACAGCTAGTGGAGACCATCTAAGGCTGTCCCGAATTAGCTACATTGAAATAAACCTTGTGTAGCTTCCCTCCACTGTAATTTTACATGAAGATACCTTCCTATATGTAAAAACTTAGTTCTTTCTACATAAATACACAGTCTTTCTTGTCCACAAGTCTCAATAAAGGCAGGAGTCAGCTTCCTCTGACTCTTCAAGTCACTTTTAGCCTACAGAGGAGGGCTGAAAACTGCAAGGAGTGACAAAAACATTTTGAGTGAATGATTTTAAGAGAGTTACTTTATTTTCTTCTGGGCAGACCCTAAGTTATGTTAAATAAAACTGTATAAATCAGGTTACTGAGGCCAAACTACCTTTTTGCTCTAGAAGAAGAAAATTGAAAGAAACCCAGCCAATAGCCAACTGTCAATATAATCTGGTTTTACTAATCTCAGCAGCAGTAAAACAACAAAACTAAACACAAACAAATCATTAAACTTTCTGCTACTTTGCAAATTGCATGTTTAATAATATTCAATTTTTCTAATAAATTAAAAGTAAAAAGGAGTAAAGTTTGCTTCCCAAAACAGTCTTCATTCTTTTATCTTTTGGAAGAAAACCATAAACCCTCAGGCTATCATAGTTCCTTCAGTTCACAACTGATCAACACTGTTAGTAGCTGGGTGTATGATTTTGAATAATACTGTACCTTTTATCTTGGTCTTCTTGATTATCACTCACTTTGTTAACAGACAACAGCCTTTTATCTCTGGGAACCTGAGAACAACACCAGGCATGGGGTCAGGTAAATGCAACTGTCAGGTATTTGCAGCTTCAGACTGCTCTACTGCAACAACTAGAAAAATGTAACCCTATCAGTGTTGTCTAGTTCACAGATGCCAGGAGCTGTTTTTCTTTGGGAGACTGATTGTGAACAGAAAGATAATTTCCAAAGGGTAAAAATGTAGGGACTGTTTTCTTTTCTAGGTCTTGGGCACACAAATCTGGAGCAAAGCACTCTTCTATATGTCCTTATCTTTGGAATATCAAGCCAGGTCAAGCTATCTCAAAATCAAAGCTTCTATTCCCAAACACGCACACACACACACACACATGCTTTTCACTAAATAATAAAAGATGAGAAGGAAGACATGATGCTTTGATGAGCACTGCATGGAGACCTTTTCAGCTCAGAGGAAAAAGGGGTTTCAGTTAAACCACCAGCACCAGCTAAATCCTCCTGTTATAGAGCAGTCTGCAGAGTGCAGGACTCGTAACCAGGGGAAGGCTGTGGATCCTTCCCTTTCCTAGCATGGGGACAAGTCAGGGCATGCTGGCATGTCATCAGAGGACATCAACTTCTGCTTTGCTGAGTGCATCAACAGCCATGAGAAGTAAAAATCCAGTCAAATCTGTCTCCTCGATAGACTCAAAACTGATACCAAAAGTGACTTAAAAGATTTGTTTTCCCACCTACCGGCTTCCTGACACCAGCATAGATATGAAATCACCAAGGGCATAGTTGCTGCCATGACTGTATTTTTCTTTTCTTGCTGAACCAGCAATTTGGGAGCTAGAACTTTTAATCTATCTTTTACAAAAGAAGGTATATCCACTCTGTCACAGCAGTTTACTCAGGATTAAAGAGCAAAAAATAGACCTAAGAATGGGCTAAAGCTGTGCCTTTTATCTTTAAATACTTCAAAGAAATATCAGGAAAATATCTGAATTTAGAGGAAAAACAATACTACAGTGCACTACAGTAGCCAAGGTTAACATCAGCTACATCTGCAAGACAGCAGCAGAGTCACAGAGTGCTAGCGAGAGCCTTTCCTTCTCTTAGGGACATCCTCTCTCCCTATTAAGCGTCCTGTTCGTTAAAAAACCTCTTTTACAAATTTTAGAAGTGGGATCCAGTTAGCACATGTTGATACCCCTGTTAAGATCATATATTTATCCCTGAAGGAGGGTTTATGTTTAGGTAAATATCACTACAAGAAAAAGGAGAAGGAAAGAAAAAAAAAAAAAACCAAACCCAAACGGTTAAGTTCAAATAATTCCTATTGACTGGAAAAAGTACTTCAAAAAAATTACCCAGCATGTCAGAACAAATGAGCCAGATGATAAATAAGGGCAATTCGAGAGAGTCTTGTGCACTGGAAGTCCTCCTCTACACTTCCACATTACAGCACAGAGGTTTAAGTTAGGTTTTAAGTTCCTGTTTGAGAGCATCAACACGAGTTATCCTTTTCTCCCAGTTTAAGACAGCAATAGTTATGACTGAATGCTCGAAATGGCTTTGAGATTAACACAGCTTATTCCATCTGAACCCCAAGTCTTTTGCAACTGCCTGGAACAAGGAACAGACATGCCTCTTAGAACATAGTTTTGAGAAGGAAAAGGGCTGTTCTCTGGTTTTATTTAAAAAATCCAGCAGATTAATGAACTCCTACATGCAAAGTTATTACTAAGACAGAAGCCAACACTGCAGATGCTCATACACATCCCGAATTTTACAAATCCGCATTAACTTCACAGACTCTGGCACTGTGGTAACTCTGTCAAGTAGAAAAAAGGATCTTTCTTCTTTCTCATTGGGAAAAGCTTTTCTCTGCGGACACCACCACACAAAAGCAAGGAACATCTCTTGAAATATAATCAGTAAAGAAATTAAAACAATATTTAACCATAAGGTTAGTATATAGCAACTTGCCTACAACCCCTTCTCCTGAACATTCATTTAATGATTGTAGTAGAGACTAAAAAGAGCAGCCCATTCTCTAAAAGTATTTATACTAATAAATACTAAAAGCGAAGGGTTTTAATTTTAGATTTC